ATCACAGCCCAGTTACTCGTCTTTGTACGAGGAATAACAAAAGACTATGAAGGAACTGGCAGTAGTGCCAGTCAGTGATAGGGACTACAGTAGGAAGTGATTTGTTCTTGAAGGTAACTCCATGCTTAGCTAAGGCTTAACCTGCAATGGGATACACTGGCAGGGTTTACAACCTATGGATGTCCAAATCTGACCAGGAAGAATGCCAGACTTCACAAAAGGCCCAGTTTCTTATGTGGCCCATTGGAAAAATTCATTGCTCACAATTGGATTGGAGCCCCCACACCCCCAAGAAAATATTATGTCAATATGTTTAGAAAGAAATAATATTTAGATAAGGCATATTCCTCTGGGGACTCAGTACATCACATCCTTACAATGATGAAAGTGCACACTCTGCTTACAAACACGCTGATTTCAAAAGGATAGAAACACAATGCAGATTTACTGTGTTTATGCAAAGATACACAAGTACATCTCCAAAGAATGGATGAAAAAAATGCCTTTTTAGTAGAGTTCTAAGGAGGACATGTTATGCTCTAACATTCCCTTTCTTTTTATTTACTGTAAATCTCAGGAAAAGACAAATGCTGTTTATCGTAAGGAGAACTGTAAGTAAACTTTGAGGAGAGTGCAACAGAAAGAGTAAAAGATTAGGCATCAGCGCTTCTGCTGTCCAAACTGTTGATATTAGACTGATCGTTGAGAGAGATTTCACTTCTCTGGAAGTAGCTCAGCAACATAGAAGTTCATTTATTCTCAAGACTCACACATTAGTGACTGGAGTTAGTTCAAACATGAAAAGAGAAGTCTGACGTCAGTTTCAGCGAATACAAGCGACACCTGAAGGCAGGCATGTCTCAACATAAAGAAGTCACAGACAAAGTCCTTACAATTAGGTGAATGTAGAAAGTTTAAATGCCAAAGAATTGCGACAGCAGGATTTACAGTGTGGGAGAACGCAAATCAAAAAAAATTTTTTTTATTGCAGCCACTTCTTAGGAAGACATCCTTGGCCGGGGTCCACGTACCTGTGAGTGTATATAAGGAGGTTCAGAGATGATGAACCTCACAGTCCTGCACACTCAGGCAGCTCGAGAAGTGAAGGAGACGCACAGCAGCAGAGATCCTTCATATCTGAGAAGAACAAATCAGTTGAAGACTGAGCCTTCAGTAGATCCTCCACTCAATAATTTAAAAGCTTTAAGATGAAGACAAGTGTTGCCATCCAGTGTATCGTTCTCCTGGCCTGCATGGCCCTTTGCACTTCACATGGTAAGTGTGTTTCATCAGATTATGGAAAACTTTGTTGTATTTGTGCAGTTTGAGAGAAGCTAAGTTATGCTAACAAATCAATTTAGATATATTTATGTTTAAGTAAAATATGAAACTGCAGCAGTTTAACCTTAATTATCACTTTCTACCTTTTCCAGTTATTCCAAGGTGCCGGTGTTTGAACACCAGTAAGTCTGTAAGAGGTCCCATCACTGAAGTTAAGGTGGATGAGCCTCGTCCATACTGCAACAGGAGAGAAGTCATGTAAGTGCCCACAGTGACAGGAGCACATTATTAATAAGAGCTCAGTCATTAATAAGGATTGTTTATAAAGTGGTTTTAAATCAAAGCTTTCTTTACATGTTACAGTGTCACACTGAAGGATGGGAGTGAACGGTGTCTCGATCCTCAGTCTAAATTCACCATAATGCTGCTAGAAAAACTGTAAGTCACACAGATGTTTTTTTTTCTTTCATTCGCTGTTATTCAGCTAAATGTGAGTTAAATGTTAGAGAGGAAGTCAGTGAAGTTAAAACAGGAACATCAACTCACTTTGGAGCATCAGTGCGAGGCTCTGCACATCAGTGATTAAAAATCAGAATCAGCATACTTTATTAAACCCTAAGGAAATTGTGTGGGTTAGAGTTTCTCTTGTATGGTAACACAACACTGATGGTTTTACTGATGGTTGTAGAGCAGCAGTTTAAAGCTCAGGGTAAAAATGCATGACTTGATCTCTTCACTACCACTGGAGCTTCAAGGTCTCATCTCTGTGATACGTTGTCTTTGCAGGAATCAGATGAAAAATACGACCATCAGCCCTCAAACAACCACATCACCAGCCGCAGTGCCAGAATCATCATGATCCACTTTGCATGTTTAGCGCTGGTACAACATGTGTCGATCAAGAAGGAGCAGCACAGCTCGGGTTCTCATCACAAAATATAAATGCAAAGTAGACAGTGACAGCTACAACTGAAAGCAAGTTGTAAACAGATTTAATATCAGATGTAAAATATTTATTATCCAAGTTCTCAGTCATTTTTTTCCGGAGACAATCAGGGACGGGCGTTGGAAATCTTATCATTCAGCCTGTCTTCTGATTGAATTTCTGATTAATAAGCATTTTTTTTTTTTAAAGTATGTTTTTTGAGTTTTGTGTCAGACAGCAGTGCTCTTATTCAGTGCACATGCAGACGTGATGTGTGTGATAAATGTGAGCAGTGGTTATAGGTTAATGTGTAATTTATCTATTATTAAAGGGTTTGTAAACAATTAAAGAAGTGAACTTTTGTGGATACAGCATGTTTATGTACCATGTTTATTTTTAATGCTGAAAAGTTCCTCAAAATAAATAATAAATCTGGCGTTTGTTAAAAAAAATTACATCTTTTCACTTTATTATAACTAACAACTCACCAGTTTACCACCACTTAAGACACAGTCAGCAAAAAGAGAACAAAAACAAACAAAACAAAAGGAGAGGCCGAATCTAAATATCAATATGTTTGGCATTAAACCTGGTTTCACTTCAAACTATGAGCATCAACTGAAAGAAAAAAAGGTTCCAAGTCATTAAACTGCTTTGCTTTTATCTCTGAGCTGTGAAAGAGATTGATTCATGAGCGGTGATGTGTTACAGCATCGCTCACAGTAGATCAAGACAGCAGATTGGATGTAAGCATGTGTAAAAACACAGATATGCTTAAAAGGGAAAAAGTTTCTTTCTTCTGTAATTTGTACAAATTAGAGATCAAGATCAGCGTTATGTAGGACACTCACTGGCCATTTTATTAGGTACACCTCTCTAGTACTGAGCCCACTCTTGCTTTGGACTTCCTGTTTTCTTCATATCAGCTTGAAGCACTCTGGTCGTTTTCTAGCATCAGAACTCCCACTCACTGGAAATTTCTTCTTTTTCTGCCCTTTCTCTGTAAACCACAGAGGTGGTTGTGTGGGAAGAAATCTGTAAATAAAAGTTTACAAAGAAGTCCCCTTTATAATTCCTGGACTGCAACTAAAAAGATGATAAACCTGAAATATCTAAATTATGACTGTTTTATGCAACTAATGCAACCATTTCACAGACTTGCTTGTTTTTTTAAAAAGCTTTATACACTTACACACTTTGCAAAACAAAATATGATCACGTTTAAATTGTGTAATTTCATTTGTAGTGAAGCATTTCTGGGATAGGCTCCAACCACCCCACCCCGCCTGCAACCCTGACAACATTAAGTGGAGGATAATGAATGGATGGCATTTCTGAGTGGACTTGTTGTGGTTAAGCATATGCAGCTCCAGAGTTTGACCATTTTTTGTGCATTTTTGTAAAATTCCTTTGAACTTTGTTTTCTGTTGTAACTTTTTCAGGCCCTCTTGTAACTCATTGTTTATTTTGCATATGATGAAACACTTTCATCCCATATCTGCAGAACTGCCATTCCTCACTAAAAGGAAGTAAAAAATTTTGAACTAACGCCTAAAAGATGGTGTCAGCTTTTTCTGCAGACAAGATGAATGTACTTTTTGTCTAACTGAATAGTTTGTGTTTATTATCTCGGAAGAGGGCCAAATTAAAACAAAACAAAACAACAAAAAACATTATCATATAGTTTCAATACTGTTCACTTACCTCTGCCAAACAGTGACTGTATAAAGACTCGACCTGCATGGTTAGCTGTGTGATTGCAGAGGAATGTGCTGGGTGTCTGCCAGAAGGGAAATATCTCACTCTGCTCTTGAGATAACAGAGGTCAATGCTGTCACTATACCTGGTTTTGAGCCAGTTGCCGGTGTTACTCGTCATTACTCACATGAACTCCAGAGTAGTACTGTTGGCTCCAAGCCAGCAATAGTGCTGGAAAGTTACTCAAAATATCCAGAGCTTTTATTTGAATCCCAGAATCCCCCTTCAGCAGGTAATTCAGGTCCCAAATATGAACCCATCATACAAGAACAAAACCTCAGCACTGACAGGAATTAGTCTAGACGCAGGTGGTGAAGAAGGAGGCTTGGATGGAGCTCTGAGTGACCAGCATGAAGAGAGAGATGGGAAGTAGGTGGGCTGAGTGAATGAGAGTCAGAAAGGCAGAATAACACAAGAGAGCTGAGATATAAAGTACGCTGAACGGGAGCTGACTGGCTCGAAGAAGTTGGTCAAGAAGATGATTGTACTAGAGCTGTGATGTCAGCAGTGTGGTAAAGTGGAAGTGTTGTAGAGGACAGACTAGCAGCCGAACACCTACGAAAGCAGGCAGATCACTGATTACAGATCTTCCTTGGTGAACTTGCACATAGGATTCATTACAACTTCCAGCCTGAGAGACTGAACTTTAGAAATATACTCTGTTTGGTCTTCTTGTAGACCAACTCTGCATGTGAAGTACAGATGGTATTAAGTCCCAGAGCCCAGATAAAGGAAGATCTTGACAACCTGTCCCTCCAGCCTTCAAGGTCCACTGCAACACAGCTGTATGGTCTCGCTGAAGGTCACGTTTGAACAACTTTCCTTGGAATTGAATATTTGTAAACTCAAATGTGACGCAATGAGGAGCTGTTAACAGGAATTGAAAGTACAACACAGCCACTGGATTTCTACTGTGAGAGGACAGGAAACAGATTTTTTGCAGTCACTTCTTAGGAAGACATCCTTGGCCAGAGTCCACCCAGCTGTGGGTGTATATAAGGAGTTCAGAGATGATGAACCTCACAGTCCTGCACACTCAGGCAGCTCGAGAAGTGAAGGAGACGCACAGCAGCAGAGATCCTTCATATCTGAGAAGAACAAATCAGTTGAAGACTGAGCCTTCAGTAGATCCTCCACTCAATACTTGAAAAGCTTTAAGATGAAGACAAGTGTTGCCATCCAGTGCATCGTTCTCCTGGCCTGCATGGCCCTTTGCACTTCACATGGTAAGTGTGTTTTTATGGAAAACTTTGGTGTATCTGTGCATCTTGAGAGGAGCTGAATTATGAAAACAAATCAATCTAAATATATTTATGTTTAAGTAAAATATGAAACTGCAGCAGTTTAACATTAATTATCACTTTCTACCTTTTCCAGTTATTCCAAGGTGCCGGTGTTTGAAGCCCAGTAAGTCTGTAAGAGGTCCCATCACTGAAGTTACGGTTCATGAGCCTTGTCCATACTGCAACAGGAGAGAAGTCATGTAAGTGCCCACAGTGACAGGAGCACATTATTAATAAGAGCTCAGTCATTAATAAGGATTGTTTATAAAGAGGTTTTATATCAAAGTTTTCTTTACATGTTACAGAGTCACACTGAAGGATGGGAGTGAACGGTGTCTCGATCCTCAGTCTAAATTCATCATAATGCTGCTAGAAAAACTGTAAGTCACACAGATGTTTTTTTTTTCTTTCATTCACTGTTATTCAAATTAATGTGAGTTAAATGTTAGAGAGAAAGTCAGTGAAGTTAAAACAGGAACATCAACAGTCACTTTGGAGCATCGTGCGAGGCTCTGCACATCAGTGATTAAAAATACTGATGGTTTTAGAGTAATAGTTCAAAGCTCAGGATGAAAACTGCTTCTGGGTCACAGGACAAATCTGATGGATGAACAATTAACAAGCTACAATAATTGAACGGCTTTATCGTGTTTTTGCTGGTAAAATTCAGGATCGTCATTCTCATAATTTAGAAGGTGAAGAAGTTAAGAGAGAAATCACTGCTTGAGTGTTATGAGTTATGAATCTGTTCACTATCACTGGAGCTTCAAGGTCTCACGTCTGTGATTTGCTGTCTTCACAGGAGGCAGAAGAAAAGTCAGCATAAGACGACCGTCAGCCCCCAAACAACCACATCATCAGCCACAGTGTCAAACTCATTATGATGCACTTTGCATGTTTATTACTGTTACACAAAAGAAACCAGACATCACTTAATGAGAAGAAGGAGCAGCCGAGATCCGGTGCAGGTTTGTCCACCACATCCCACCGTGGTCTATGGGACTGAAATCTGGTGACTCTGGAGGTCATTTACATGCAGTCATCTCACTGTCATGTTCAGGACACCAGCTTGAGTTGTGAGATATGGTTCATTATACTGCAGGAAGTAGCCTTCAGAAGATGTGTACACTGTGGTCATAAAGGGATGGACATGGAAACAGTAAACAGTGAACATTGTTCAGCTGTTGGACTGGATACATGTTTAAGTATTTGGGATTTTTTAATCTTTTTTTTAATGCACTTATCATCAAGAGTGGCTCCTCCAGCTGATTTTAAACCAAAGCTCTCCAAACCAGCTGATATGAGAGATCCACTTGAGCTCGCTTCATAGTTCACCCCTCTGTTTTCCTTCCCTCGAGTGCAGCCTTTGTGTTTTGTGTTTTATTTCATTTCATCGTTGGTCTGTTCTGGATTATTTTTATAACGTGTATATTTTTGGATTCTCAGCGACTGAAATAAAGGTTGTTTTCTGTTTGCTTCACTTTCTTGCCTTTGAGTCCAGTATCTGGGTCCTTAACCTTGCACATAGTGACACAATCTCCTCTTTCATATCTAAAACAACCAATTCTGAGATTTTAAGAACATTTTGCTCTCTAAAAATGAGGCTTGATCGTCAGTGTTCAGTGTCAACACTGTGAACTGTTTACTATGATAATTTTGCAGTTTGCTTTAAAAATTTAGCTTAAACACGATGCAAGAACATGATACACATGTGTGACTCAAACAGCTTCATCATGAACTCGAGATCACTGAATCTGAATCCTGCATGAAAAGGTGTGTCGGGTTCTGAAGACATAACCATTAATCTTGTAAGAAGTGAGGGGATAAAACATCACTCTTTCACATTTAGCTGGTGAAAACTGTTTTGTGCCAAGACTAAATTTATTAGCCTTGATTTTGTGTTTAAGTCACTGCTTCCTGTAAGGAGTTGAACATGGGAATAATAATAATAATAACACATTTCCAAACTCCAGATGTGAAAAAGTTATCTGAGGTTTGGGAACTGGGAGCTGAGCCTGTCGTGGGTTTCTGCCAGGAGTGAATGAGACCTTTACAGGGGGACCCTCGGTCAAGGTTTAAATCTAAAATACAAACTCTCCAATCAGTTATGTGTTGATACATTTTATTAAGATTATATTTCACCCAACATATATTTTAGATAGCAATAGACAGAAAATAGAAATCTAGAAAACCAGTGGTCATCACATGTACAGTAAAGACATCACTAAAACCATTTAAACGAACACTTTGTGGTGAAACTCTCCTGAAGTAAATGTCGACATCTGGATATTTGGTTCTGAAAATGTTGCACAGATGCTGAACTTTAACTGGAAGCTCTACTTGGATACTTTCCAGCACCATCCTCGAGGGTCACATGCAAATATGTTGATATAGGCTACTGAAGTAAAAAGCTGCGTTTCTCAGCTGCAGAGTTACACTGAAAGGATACATATTTAGGCTAGTTAGTGCCCAGTGACAGATTAATAAAATACTAGAAAATTCATTCAATTCAATTTTATTTACCAGCAAGCACCAAAAACATTGGCAACAAAGTGCTTTATATTGTAATGTAAGGGTAAAGAGAAAACTCCAACAATCAGATAACCACCTATGAGCAAGTACTTGGTGACAGTGGGAAGGAAAAACTCCCTTTTAACAGAAAGAAACCTCTGACAGAAGCAGGCTCAGAGGAGGAAGACAGGACAAAGACACGCTGTGAAAGAGAGCCACAGACTAATAATAACTAGTGACTAAATACAATAAAAAGTGAAGAAGTAGCACTCAGTGCATCATAGAAAGCACCCAGCAGCCTAGACCTCTTGCAGCATAACCAATTGGGCTGGGATTTCTAGAACCGATTCCATTACGATTCAATTTTGATTCAGACAGAAATGTTGTAATTCTTCATTTATCAGTACTGACAGTTGTGAGACTTCATCAGAGGTGTAAACATCACAGCAGATGCCATTCTGTCAAAGTAACAGAGGATGAAACACAGAAAAACATGAAGGAAATTTCTTGGCTTGTCTTTTTATAGCAGTTAACCTTAAAAATACTCTGCAGTAGATCAAAAACAGAAGAAAACCATGAACCAACATATGAACATTACCTGATGCTGCCGAAGTGAAGCAGAGCAAAGTTACAGAGGTTTTATTAGAGACACAGCCAAGGGTTTTGCAATTTCTCAGAATTTTAAAAAGTTTACACTTCTCTGGTATTGAACAGCAGAAATTAGATTTTCTTGTAGGAAGTCATATAAAAACAACAGCAGGAGACTGCGCTGTAAACAACGGTAGACTGGTGCGTAATACGCAAATCCAAATGTGCAAAACTGATATTCACCACAGTAATGCTGATGTCTGTCACAACACAGTAGATGGATAAGACAAACACATAGGGACTTGTTATTATTTCCAGTGTAGCTGCTAATGTCTGCAAGTGCTGGAATTGAGCATGACTCACACTGATTTCATCACAAGAATAAGATTAGATCTAAAACCCATCTAGCCCAGGGACTAGCTGACTGTGACTGACTTCCCATATCATTCACACAACATCGTCTGGTGTTTTCTCGCTGAGGGCAGGAAACTGAAGGAGAAACAGCCTCACCCACCAGACTGACAAGAGGCTGAACTCGCTCCCCTCTTCACAAAAAAAAAGACTGAGTTGTAATAAGCACACACACCAGCACCAGTCCCTTTACTACATTGCTACTGCTACTATTTCATACATTTCAGAGGCGTCCAAATAGGCTACATGTCTTCATGCAAGGTATCTGTCAAAATACCTGAATATACCTGTCCAGTGGAAGCACGTTGAAGGAGTGGAGAAGAAAGTGTGAAACATTCTTAATGACGAAGTCTGCCTTGGTTTCTGCTGTAATTGGTGACCTTATTAATCTGAGAATTTCAGTATTTTTAAAAGTGATGGAGACGTTTTTTCTTGCATTCCCACACCCTTACAGATTTACTGCATTTACTAAATGCAATGATATACATGCACATCTGCAAACAATGAATAGAAAATGATCTTTTCAGCTGTGTTTAAAGGAACTTCCCATTTTCTTTCTTTTTATCATTTTATTTCTTTATTTTATTTATTGGAAATTGTTCAAACACTTTTGTCATAAAGAGAAGTGTAAGTAAACTTTAAGCAGAGTGCATCAGAAACAGTAAAATATTAGTCATATCATATCATATCATAATTTGAGCTGTCTAAATTATTAATATTAGACTGATCATATAAAGACTTTATTGCATTTCACCTCTGTAAGTAGATCAGAGATACAAAATATCCTTTATCAGCAAAACTCACATGTGAGTGATTGGAGTGAGTCCAAAACAAGTGAACTGTGACATCAATTTCAACAAATACAAACGACACCTGAAGGCAGGCAGGTCTCAACATCAACCAGTGGCACAGGAAATCTTTGCGAGTAAGTGAACGTATAAAGTTTAAATGCCAAAGGATTGCGACAGCAGGATTTCCACTGTGGGAGGACAGACATCGGAAAGTATTTTTTTCAGCCACTTCTTAGGAAGACATCCTTGGCCAGAGTCCACGTAGCTGTAAGTGTATATAAGAAGTTCAGAGATGATAAACCTCACAGCCCTGCACACTCAGGCAGCTCGAGAAGTGAAGGAGACGCACAGCAGCAGAGATCCTTCATATCTGAGAAGAACAAACCAGTTGAAGACTGAGCCTTCAGTAGATCCTCCACTCAATACTTGAAAAGCTTTAAGATGAAGACAAGTGTTGCCATCCAGTGCATCGTTCTCCTGGCCTGCATGGCCCTTTGCACTTCATTAAGTAAGTGTGTTTTATCAGATTATGGAAAACCTCGGTGTATTTGTGCAGTTTGAGAGGAGCTAAATCGTGACAATGAATCAATCTAAATGTATTTATGTTTAAGTAAAATATGAAACTGCAGCAGTTTAACATTAATTATCACTTTCTACCTTTTCCAGTTATTCCAAGGTGCCGGTGTTTGAAGACCAGTAAGTCTGTAAGAGGTCCCATCACTGAAGTTACGGTTCATGAGCCTCGTCAATACTGCAACAGGAGAGAAGTCATGTAAGTGCCCACAGTGACAGGAGCACATTATTAATAAGAGCTCAGTCATTAATAAGGATTGTTTATAAAGTGTTTTTATATCAAAGCTTTCTTTACATGTTACAGAGTCACACTGAAGGATGGGAGTGAACGGTGTCTCGATCCTCAGTCTAAATTCACCCTAATGCTGCTAGAAAAACTGTAAGTCACACAGATGTTTTTTCTTTCATTCACTGGTGTTCAACTTAATGTGAGTTAAATGTTAGAGAGGAAGTCAGTGAAGTTAAAACAGGAACATCAACAGTCACTTTGGGGCATCAGAGTGAGGCTCTGCACATCAGTGATTAAAAATACTGATGGTTTTACAGAAGCAGTTTTTTCCAAATCAAGATCCTTTTTTTATTCAGAAAGTAAATAAGACAAAAAAGTTGGTTGATTTTGTTGTTAAAGCTTTAAAAGTTGTGATTTTTTTTTTGCAACCCAGCCTCATCTCTCTGATATGTTGTTTTCACAGGAATCAGATGAAAAATACGACAGTCAGCCCTCAAACAACGACAGCATCGGCTGCAGTGCCAGAATCATCATGATGCACTTTGCATGTTTAGTGCTGTTACAACATGTGTGTATTAAGAAGAAGGAGCAGCACAGCTCTCGTTCTCATCACAAAATATAAATGCATTTAATTCCTCAGCCTATCTTCAGGCTTAAGTTGTGATTACTAAGCATATGCACATTTATATATCTGCATCTATATATATTTATTTTTGTAAAGTATGTAACACAAACATTAATTTATTTGTGCTATTTTAACATTTTCACAGGTGAATTTAATGTATATTCGTACCATGTTTGTCTCTTTGATTCTGAAATGTACAACAGTGACTCCGACTCAATAAATCTTTAAGTTGTTGAATAAGTTACATCTTTTCACTTTATTATAACGACTAAATAATGTTTTAATTGTAAGGAGCCAGAGGAAATATTAGACAAACAGGAACATACAAAGAGGGAAAGGTGCAACCAGCACAACAACAACATGAAAAAAAAAAAATCCAATGAAACATTGCCTTTAAAATCTCAAAAGTAAGCAGCTGCTTCAGTTTAAACAGGACTTTTTTGAAATTACCAACACAAGAGTGCTGCGTCTTTGATAGAGTTTCTAGCAGGATAACAAAGTGTGTGTTATAACACAATATGTGTTATCCTGCGCACACCCAATTACACCACCAGCGAGACTCCTAACCTCTCTGTCCATGCTCCTCCCCTTCCCTCTCACACAGGGTTTCATGCTACTAGCACTTACATACTTAAAGTGAGAGGTACCCCCTTTTAGGTTCCAATCCCAAAACACTGACTTAAAAGTACTTTAT